GGATCTACTCTGAGGAGGACTGGCACTGACTGCCACCCCATATCATCCTCCAATCCTGAATCCATTCTGTGCCACACTTTGCATGCCAGGGGTACATCTAAGCACCTGAAGGTGCCTTGTAAAAGGTGAACCCAGCAGTCCCTACCGTGGCTGATAGCACTTCTCCAAGATCCTTTAGCCAGAGTGCCAGAACATAGCTGAGCCCCAGCAAAGCCAGCAGCTCCAAACTTCACCTCCTCCCTCCCCTGCAACAGTGAATAAAACAAAAGGCACAATGTCATTTTTCTGTGCATTTCTCCACCCTCCTACAACTTTCATTGGCTGCTGCATTCATGGGTAGGGAAACTAGCAAAGCACCGGAGGAACATTGCCTGTCTTGCTTTGCTCAATGTTCTGGGGGGAAGGCAGAGCAGATGTGGGGCAGATTGCTCTCCAGGGCATCCACACTGTGTTGCAGTGTGCAGGCTTAAGGTGGGGCGGGGCGGGGGGTCGTCTCCTGTCCTGCTACCTGAAATGGGATCACTGAAATGAGAGACAAGAGCACAGGAAACAGTCATATACTGAGTCAAACCACAATCAGTCCTGCCTACACTGACTGGCAGCAGTGGTTTCAGGCAGGGGACATTCCTAGCCCAATCTAGAGATGCAGAGAATTGAACCTGGGACTGTATTATGGTCCTTAAATAAATGATGCTGGAGAGAAGCTTGTGGCCTTCTGTGTGCAGAAGTATTTGACCTTCTGCAGGCAAAGCCAATGCTTTGGCCCTGAGCTCCAGCTCTCCCCCAGCAAAATCAAAGTGAAGCAGTGGGAGGCATCTACAGATATTTGAAAAGCAAGGTGCAAAACCAGACACCCATCTGCCTATTTTACTTTCCTGCACAGCCCATCCGGAGTAAAATAGACTCTGCATAAGTGGTAATTTGACAACCAGCCTCCACATACTGTCCTAGGCAAGGAGGGTGGGTAGATTTTAATGCTTTTGGAACAAACTGCCTTGGGCGTGGATCCTAGAATTGTAGAGCTGGAAAGGCTCACGAGGGTCATCGAGTCCAACCCCCTGCAATGCAGGAATCTTTCAGCCAACGTGGGGCATGACGGAATACAAATGCTTTAAATGAAGGATTATATCATGTCCAAGTAGGCCTTCCAAGCAAGCTCTGAGGCTCAGGCTCTGAGGCTTTGCTGTTGCTTGTCTATGCTGCTGTGATATCACAGAATGCTCACAGAGCATTCCAATCACTCAAGGTAAATGTGGTCACAGCTGAGTGTTAAGCGACAACACAGCTTCTCTGAAGCTCTGGACTGGGGGTGGGTCAGGGACTCATAGGTTCAATCGACGGCATTGACGGCAAGATCAAAGAAGAGGTACAACTCCTGCTATTGATATTCTCAATTTCAATTAGAGAACAGTCTCTCTCTCTCTCTCTCCCTCTCTCGTGCGTGTGTGTGCACATACACACACTTTATAACAAGGAAACAGCAAGCCCACTCACACTATTCTAAAGCAATGGAACAACTTGGATTTCAACAGCAGCTGCCAAAATAGCAATCTGAATTAGGGGGTGCGTAAAAAGTCCAATTAAAGGAGCGAAAGAACTGCAGAGTGGGAAGGCTCAAAGCACAGTTCCTCAGTTGGACCAGAACCATTTACTATTTACCGGCAATTTTACAACCCACAGCATTTTGAGCAGAATGGTCAAGCCAGCTCACAATGGCGCACTTCTCTCAATGCGCTTGCACCTCGATTTCATTCCTCTGCAGCTATCGGCACCTCCGGATGAAATATTGCCTCCATGCAAGGCCACACTGAAACACCCAGCGCAGGCCTGCATTTCACAGCACACACATCAAACTCTTTCCGCTGCTCGGTTTCCATCTGTTCACAAGAGCCGACCGAGGGAATTTGCTGCCTCTCCCTAATGACACCCACACACACAAAACCCATTGGGCAGAATCAGCCAACGGCAAATGTGCAGTCTCGTGGCCTTTGCCTGTATCAAACACAGGACAACCCAGACATGAGATGCACCCCGTGCTTGTGAATGACATGCTGTCACTCAGATCCAGCAAGGTGAAACAGAGCGAGAGGAGGAACAGAGAGACGGTATCCCATTCTTCCCTCTTCCGATTTGCTTTCCTTGGCTCAGGTACATCTGACATCTGATCTCAGGGCAGGACAGCTGGTCCCCCGATCAAACCCATTTGCCTTGCGCTCTCAGATTCCAAACGCAACCTTTTATCTCCCACCCCATCCCCCCCGCCACCCAAAAAGTGTGCTTGTTCTCACCCCATCATACAAAGGGAAAGACAGCCGGCAACCCCAGAGCAAATGCTGAGTCACTTAACGAGAAAACCAAGCTTGCTAATAGCCACCCCCTGCTTGCAAGGTGGTCTGCACTGGAGATTTGCAAGCCAGGTGACTGCAGAAACCTTTCTCCTCTTTTGCCTTTCCCTGTTTCCCTTTCACCTTCAGGGCAAGGACTCAGGTGAGAAGCTCATGGCTGAACGCAGGCCCTAAATAGAACTGCACTGGCTCATCAGAAAAGAACGTAAGAAGAATCTAGCTGGGTCAGGCCAAAGGCCCCTCTAGCCCAGCATCCTGTTCTCACAGTGGCAACCAAATGGCCCAGTGGGAAGCCCCCAAGAACGACCTGAATGCAACAGCAGCAGACCCCCCCCTCAGTGTCCCTATTTTCCAGGGACAGTCCCAGATTTACAGAAGCTGTCCCGGTTTCTGAGTTGATCCAGGAATGTCCTGCTTTTCCTTAGGATGTCCATATTGTCATCAGAGAAATGTTGGAAGGTGCGGAGTTATGCGACCCCCTGAGCCAAGGAGATAAGTAACTATACAACCTTTAGAAGACATCTGAAAGCAGCCCTGCATAGGGAAGTTTTTATATATGTCGGAAGCCACCCAGAGTGGCTGGGGTGCAAATGTTGTTGTTGTTGTTATTAAATAGGATGTCCCTATTTTCATCAGAGAAATATTTGAGGGTCTGCAGCCGTCCAGAGGTGGTTTTAGGACAGTGCCACTGATTTGCTCGCACTGAGTGCTCAACCAAGGTGGACGCCTTCTCAAAGCCCAGTGAGGACTTGCCTGGCTTCAAGAAGGAAGCACGAGGGCTCTGGCAGGGTCCTAGAGTTCTCCTCCCTCCTTCCCAAAGCTGGGCAAGCGCTTAGCGGACTTTAGGAAGGAGGTGGGAGGGCTCTAGAACTCTGCCAGAGCCTCACACCTCCTTCCCAAAATCCAGCACTTGTTTACCGGGCTTAAACTAGCACCTTGAGGGCTGTGGGGAGGGCACCATATGTTAGCCTTGCATAGGACAGCATATTCGCAAGGTTCACCCCTGACCCATTTTCTGCCTCTACTGTAGGAGGCAGTGTGCCTCTGATTGCCAGTTGTTGGGAATCACAAATGGGGAGAAAGCACTGCTGTTCTTTGGGCTGCCCTTCTGGGAATCTGGTTGGCTGCTATGAGAACATGATGCTAGACTAGAAAGGCTTCCGGCCTGATGCAGCAGGGCCCTTAGCATATAGCCATTGCTGCTAGCAAAAGGTGCAGGATGGAGACAATTATATTCACATGATAGCCTACAGTACATAGCTGTACATTAAATTATTATTATTATTATTATTATTATTCACGGCTACAATTATATCAGTCAACAGGATGGTCAGGAAAAAGCCAAGCCCCTGCCCCACAAAGCTTACAATTAGGGTTGCCAGTTTTTATTGTCTTTATTTGACCAGTCCTTGTGCCTTTAAACAGCACTCTGGTGTGAATATGCTCCTTTCCATGGTCTTGAAGCACTTCAAGCTGCTGATCACTGCAGATTACAAGGCACAGTTAAGGATCTCCCCCCCCCTTCTGTTCAGCTGGTAACCCACACTTAGAATGTACAACTTGAGAGGAGAAAAGGGTAAAGTGGCTTAAGCAAATGCAGTTTTTGTGCTCTTAGGCCTCATTTCGCAGCATGCATGTAGTTGGGGGAGAAGGGTTTAATCATACCCAACTGTGGCTAAATGTCTGGATGTACCTTAACTGGGATACCTTTATGCCAGCCTTGTAAGGCGGGCTAGAATACTAACTGCCCCCTTTATGAATTGGCAAGGGGGAGGCCACAGCCATCATAAAGCAGCAGAGTGCATTCCTAGCCAAGGCGACATTTGAACCAGGGGCTTCCTGGCTGTCAGTCACCATGCCAGTTAGATACACAGATGTCACTGCCTCTGTTGGTTCAGCTTCTGTGTGTCAGACCAGAGCGGGTAGAGTTAACCAGGTCACGGAGGGGTTGACCCACAATGGCCTCTGCTTAATTCAAGTTGATGATTACACTTATTAGCATTAGGAATGTATATCCCCTATGGACCCCTCAGCCACAGCATCTCTACTGCATACCACCTAGGAAAATATGGGATTCTTTCTACCCCACACTGGATTACTTCGGAGCAACTACTGCGGCCAGGGCCAATTACTGAAGACGCTCCCATGCAGCTGTGTGTGTGTGTGTGTGTGTGTGTGTATCCCCCATTAACTGCGGGCAGGGGAGGCCACGCTTCCCCCTCTCTCGCTCATCCCAATCGAAGCTCAACGGCAAGGCTCAGGATGCCCGGAGGAAGCCGCCGCGGACAGCTTGCCTGGGCACCAGGAGGGAACCGAGGCTGCTGGCTGTCCATCAAGCCACCTGCACCAAACACGCCCCTCCTCGCATCACCTTCCATCCTGCCGAACCTGGCACGGGACCCGGAGTGAGAGGTGCGGGGGGGGGGGGAGTCGGAATGAGAGAGATAGAGCGAGCGTCCCTATCCCTCTCGCCCCCAGACCCTCAATACCATCCGCAGCCTTGGCTGACGCTACAGCGGAGAGGCGCTAAAGATGCCACCCGCATGCCCGATTCCTCTCTCTCCCTCTCCAAAAGAAGGTGGCACCCACTTTCCCCCATCGCACTTTCCGCACACCCTCTCCGGCTCCCCCCGCTCCCCGGCCCCGCTGGCTCACCAGGTAGGCGCCCACCGTGCCCTGCGCCAACATGAGCGCGCACTCGGAGACCAGGAAGATCTGGATGTTGGAGACGCACGGGGAGCTCTTCTTTTTCCTCTTCTTGGCGCGCTGCGACTCGTCCCCTTGCAGCTCCCCGCCGTCCCCGCTGCTGTTGCTCCCGCCGCCGCCGCTTCCTCCTTCTCCCGAGGAGCCGCGGGGCTTCTTGCCCTGCATCCTCCTCCTTGGCCCTCTCCGCGTCCCCACCGGCCGCCCGGGAGCAGCGGCGGCGGCGGCTCCGGGGGCCAATCAGGCGCGCAACGACGGCTGCCCGCGCCCGCCTCGCCTCCTGCGGCGGGCTCCTCCTGCCGCCGCCGCCGCTGCTGCTCGCACCGCTGCCATGGCCGGCCCGCTCCCTCCTTCCTTCCTTCCTCCGCCCGCTCTGCTCGGCTCCCTCCCTCCTGCTTTCCTTCCTTCCCTCTCGCTCCCTCTCTCGGCCGCCGCTCCAGCGCCGGCTCCAGAGCGCGGCTGCTGCTGCTGCTGCTTGCTTGGCCCAACCCGCCTGCGCCTTTGCTGGGCTGGAGCCAAGAGGGGAGAATGGCGCGCCCCGAAGAGGAAGCGGGGCAGGTCGTCGTTGTATTTTCTTTCTCCCCCTCACACCCCCCGGGAAATACTGGGTCTGCGCTGTTTCTGGAGGAGGAGGATCTGCCTTGCATGTAGAAGGTCCCAGGTTCAACTCTCAGCATCTCCAGGAGGGGCTGAGAGAGACCCCTGTCTGAAACGCTGGAGAGCTGTTGCCAGTCAGTGTAAGCAACACTGAACTAGGTGGGCCATGGCATGAGGCAGCTTAGCCAAGGGCCCTAGCTCAATAGTAAAACATCTGCTTGGCATGCAGAAGCTCGCCGCTTTAAACCCCAGTATCTCCAGGCAGGGCTGGGAGAGACCCCCTGCCTGAAACCTGGGAGAGCTGCTGCCAGTCAGTGTAGATGATACTGAGCTAGATGGAACAATGTGTCTGACTCAGTATTAGGCAGCTTCCTGTGTGGCAAGGTTTGGCCACTCTGGGAAGGAGTTTCCTCTTTGGCCCCTGAGTAGCATTGGAGTCTTCCAGGAGGGTGGAGCAGGGCCAGCTCTGCCATTAGGCAGAGGGAGGATGCAGCTCCAGATATGCAAACCTAAGAAGAGCCCACCCAGATCAGGCCCATCTAGTCCAGCATCCTGTTCTCACAGTGGCCAACCAGATGCCTGTGGGAAACCTGCAAGCAGGACCCGAACTCAAGAACATTCTCCCCTTTAGTGATTTCCAGCAACTGGCATTCAGAAGCATTGCTGACTCTGACCATGGAGGCAGAGCAAAGTCATGTCGGCTGGTAGCCATTGGTAGGCCTCTCCTCCATGAACTTGTCCAATCCGCTTCTGAAGCCATCCAAGTAGGTGACCATTGCTGCCTACCCTGTACTCCATGGTCCTCTCTCCCCTGACTCTTCTGACAGTCCAGTCAGCTTCTGCACATGGAACAGGGTGGGTGAGATGCCATCTTCTGCTTTGCCCTCATGCAACAAAATGGCTCGGGTGAGGCTGTGGGTTTGGGCAAGGCCGCGAGGCCTCCACCACCCCACTGAGGATGGAAAAGGAGGACTATTTTGGGAACCAGATGCAGAGAAGGAAGTGAAGCGAGTGCTGGGCTGGACAGCAGAGGTCAGGATGAGACTCTGCTGTTCCTGGAAAGTGAGAGGAAGGGTCCAAACCAGGCCTGGCCCACTTTTGAGGCAGGGTGAATGACAATGATAAATGTCTAGCTGTGCTGATAATTTGCCACCAAGTGACTTAGTAGGTGTTTCCGTGTGCGGCTCTGGCTCGCCAGAGCAGCGATGTCACGCTGGCCACGTGACCTGGAAGTGTCTTCGGACAGCGCTGGCCCCCGGCCTCTTGAGTGAGATGGGCGCACAACCCCAGAGTCTGGCAAGACTGGCCCGTACGGGCAGGGGTACCTTTACCTTTGACTTAGTAGGGCTCTGCATCAACACCCCCAGGCTAAAAGTTCTGCTCACCACTTCTAGGCAGTGATGGACCACTGATGGCCCCTGGCTTGCTCTGCAGACTACCATGCCTTGGTACCACCCAAGAGACCTCGGGCTAACCAATTGCCACTTGTCCAAAATGGACTAACTAATTTCTGGGCACATTTGCTTATTCATACCATAAGCTTTCCATCCCAGCCTCCTGCAGATCGTCTGGTTCCAATTTCCTCAGGCTTCTCCGTGGCCTCTCCCCAACTGACAAGGAGAGAAATTTTCAAGGAGAAACTGTCATTAGCCAGCCATCTCTACAGGATGTTTTGTTCCAACTCTCTAGTCCTCCAGATGGTGCTTTTACAGTGCAAGCTCCTGTCAAGCTTAACCTGGGAATTCATTCCAATGGAGGGTGCCATCACCCCTGGAGCAAACACACCTTCACACCACACAGGCATGTGCAAAGATCTAAACATTTTGGAATTATTTATTCACAAAAGTTATTTCAAAAGATATATTTTTAGGACATGAGCTGCCAGGAAATCCAATAGCTGTGCTGTTTGGACTACCTCACAGGGTTTTCCTGAGAGTAAAAGGGAAAAGGGGGAGAACCACAGGCACCAAATCATAGAATTGTAGCATTGTGGAGTTGGAAGGGACCCCGAGGGTCATCTAGTCCAACCCCCTGCAATGCAGGAATCTCAGCTAAAGCATCCAGGACAAATGGCCATCCCACCAAATATGGAGAGGATGGGAAGTCATAGATTTGAGTAGAAAACACATAGTCGAAATCGTATGTATCTTTTGTGAGCATTGATATCTTTATTGGCTTGATGGAAATGAATATGATTACATGTTGTATATATATGGAAAACAAACAATAAAACATCAAAACTGGAAGAAAAAAGGAGAGTCCATAACCTGTTCCACCGTTGAACAGCTCTTACTGTCCAAAATTTTTTCCTAAGTGCAAAAGCCCTACATCTGTCCATTGGTAGCTATGCATAGGGCTCATTCACAATGCCACTGAATTTGTGGCCAGCATGTGCATTATTATTTAACTACATTTATTTCAAAGTATTTCTAAACCACTCTCTGTACACACTCCCCAAGTGGCGTAAAAAAATACCACCAAAGAACAGTAAAAAAACATAATTCAGCACAAGAACATAAGAACAGCCTATTCTGGATCAGACCATTGACTCATCTAGCCTAGTATCACATTCTCACAGTGGCCAACCAAACGCTTGTGGAACCTGAGCACAAGAGCACTCTCCCCTCCTGTAGCTTCCAGCAACTGGTATTCAGAAGCACTGCTGTCTCCTACAAGGAAGGAGGAACACAGACATCATGGCTAAAGGTAAAGATAAAGGGACTCCTGACCATTAGGTCCAGTCGTGGCCGACTCTGGGGTTGCGGCGCTCATCTCGCTTTATTGGCTGAGGGAGCCAGCGTACAGCTTCCATGTCATGTGGCCAGCATGACTAAGCTGCTTCTGGTGAACCAGAGCAGCGCATGGAAACGCCATTTACTTTCCTGCCAGAGTGGTACCTATTTATCTACTTGTACTTTGACGTGCTTTCAAAGTGCTAGGTTGGCAGGAGCAGGGACCAAACAACGGGAGCTCACCCTGTCACGAGGATTCGAACCGCCGACTTTCTGATCGGCAAGTCCTAGGCTCTGTGGTTTAACCCACAGCGCCACCCGCGTCCCATTAATTGGTCTAATCCTCTTTTCAAGCCAACCAAGCTGGTGGCATGAAGAAGTCCTTCCTTTTATCTGTCCTGAATCTTCCAACATTCTGCTTCAGGGGATGTCCTAGTGAGTCCTAGTGCTGCGAGAGAAGAGAGAGAGAGAAATTCTCTATCCACTTTCTCCATGCCATGTATAATGTTTTAAATGTCTATCATGCCACCTCTTGCTTGCCTTTTCTCTAAACTGAAAGATCTCAAATGCTGCAATCGTTCTTCATAGGGGAATTGCTCCACCCCCTTGATCATTTGGGTCACCCTTTCTGAACCTTTTCCAGGTATTTCAATGGAGCCCATTCACTCACACAATTGACATTTGTCATGTACAAAGAATTCTAAGCCTTGATGTATAAACGAGTTAGCAACAATTTGTCCAAGGATCAGTAGAGGTGACATCTGGATTGTGGGTGACCAGAATCTTGGCAAGCCCGGCATACCTAGTCACCTGAAAACATACTGTCATTCATGGAAAAAACAACACCTTAAACCAGTGCCTTTTTTCCTTAAAAAAAAAAGTTTAGGGGTACTCTCATTTTCCTAGGTAAAGGTAAAGGGACCCCTGACCATTAGGTCCAGTCGTGACTGTCTCTGGGGTTGCTGCACTCATCTCACTTTATTGGCCAAGGGAGCCAGCGTACAGCTTCCGGGTCATGTGGCCAGCATGACTAAGCCGCTTCTGGCGAACCAGAGCAGCGCACGGAAACGCCGTTTACCTTCCCACCGGAGTGGTACCTATTTATCTACTTGCACTTTGACGGCCTTTCAAACTGCTAGGTTGGTAGGAGCTGGGACAGAGCAACGGGAGCTCACCCCATCACAGGGATTAGAACCGCCGACCTTCTGATCGGCAAGTCCTAGGCTCTGTGGTTTAATCCACAGCGCCACCTGTGTCCCACTCATTTTCCTACTTATATTGAAATATTGCCCCTCAATGAAGCCAAACTTAGATTCACAAAATGTTTAGGGGTATGCGTACCCCCAGAAAAAAAGCACTGTCTTAAACCAACTTTCCCCAACCTGGTGCCTTCCAGTTGTTTTGGACAACCAATCCTATCAAGCCAGCCCACAATTGGGGAAGGTTGCTTTATCTATACATTTCTTAGCATTACCAACTGGAATTCTGCAAGAGCCTCATTATAAACTATGTTTGCCTGGAAGCCTGATCGGTTACCTGCCCCTTCAGTCCTAGATTGTAGGTGTGCATAGTCATTAAAGTCCATGGTCACCTTGAATTCTTGTTTGCAAAGCTCCCATTAATTTCAAATGGGGCCAGGATCCCATTCTGCAGCTGCACTTTACCACTGCAGAAAGCATTTCCAGCATATAAACATTTTGCAAAATGATCAGGCCAGAACCAGTGAGAAGGTAATGAGCTGAAATAAAGATGCCAGTCACGTACAACATTCCCCCCTCCGCACTCATAAATACACTCATAACATGATATATCAGCAGAAAGGACACACCAGAGGTCATCCAGCACCACCCTTTGCATAGAAATAGGTATCTGTGCACCTACAGATCTTTGCACATCAAACCCAACCCAGCAAGATGCAGTAATCCTAAATCCATGTGGCAAGATGGGTTTTTTTTAAATAATACTAGAATTTGGGGATATCCAATGAACCTTGGAGAATTCAGGATAGACAAAGGAAAGT